TGAGCATGATGAGAAATGAAGGTGAAGTAATAAAGCAGCCCCCCCACTGCTGTCTGCAGGAGAGATATCTCCAGATTGATGCCAGTGTCCCTGAGAGGTTTTATGTGTGAGGCCAAGTGACGCTCATACAGCATCCTACACTATCCATACAAAGTCCAACCGGGTTCAAGGAGTCGTGAAAACTTGGAAGTTTGATTTTTCATCTCTGCCCTGTTGCTGGGATACAGTCACATGCAGAACTCTTATTGTTGGTTCGTTTGGAATGGTTCCACATGTTTGAATGATGGATTGTTAAACAATGTTTGCATGGGATCAGTACGACTTGAGGATAATAACTTGTTTTAATTGTGGAGGTCATGTGAGATCTTATTCCTGTCTGTAATTTGTAAAAAGCTCTATGCTATAAACTACCTGCTATATTTCTCTAAACACAGAGATCCTGTGATAATATTAGTCCTGTGCAAACTGCAGGCCTTGATTTGGGGACAGGGTTTTTTGGGGGGATTTTTTTTTTGTCTGAACCTTTCTTCTGCCTCTTTCCCACTCGACAGTTTTGGATGCTGCCTTGAATTATACATGAAAGTTTGGAGCGTTTTGGGTGCAAGTTCAAGAGGCTCATGTCACTTCACAGCATGGAGACTCGTTCACAGAAAGAACAAATCCATTAGAAGAGCAACATCTGAAAGAGTAATGAGGTGACATGCATGGCGGCGTGTGGTAAAGATCATTTATCTGTCTCTATCCACTTATTGTGTCGCAGCCTATTAATATCACAACCACAGATAACGTCAGTAAATTCAAGTAGAGCACAGACTTGGCTTATCCTGTGCTAATCTGTCACAGGAAACACAGACATGGGACGTAATTTATAAATTGCATGACGACCCTGGGTACAATTAGTCTAGTAAATATAGGCAATATAGTAAATACACTCTCCATCGTCATTGTAGATAAACAAGGAGTCACTCAAAGGGACATTATTTGGGGAAACTAAATGCAGAAAACGACCCCCTGGAATGACCATTTTGCTCGATGCAGCAAGCATACAGGAGATATTAGAGTGCAATCTGTCCCCCATTGTTTTACAGTGGCAACATAAATGTCAGCTGGTAGGTCAGCTGCACTTTAGCCTTGAGCAGAGACTGCTTTCAAATCTGCAGAGAAAAAACGACAATTGAAGTAAGACCTCAGGTGGACTGTTTGCGGCTGATTGACAAGAGGAGCCAGACAACTGGAGCACCAGGCTTACAATCACTGGACAACCTCCTCTGCCATCTGAGCTGCAGACGGCTCTTTTTATTCTTACAGAAATTGTACATCTTAATTTTGCAGTTTTACATCATACAGTGTGTTGGCAAGTGGCCACTCACAGTGTGTTCATCTTGTGCAGCGGATCTCTGGATGTACAGAAAACAGTCACAACTAACTGTGTTCGCTTTCATCACTTAAAATGGACACCCACACACAGCAGTACATGCTCTGTGGACACTGTTCAACTGATGTTGCGTAACATTGAATTGTTTACGGGAAAAGTGGTGGGCTTTTTTTTGGAGCTCACAGTTAAGCCGGACCACTCAGATGTAACCTGTTAGCGAAATCCTATATCTTCACAAAGCATGCCTGCTCTCGACATTGTTTCGGCCCAATACAATCGGGAGAGAGTGCTGTTAAACGCTCAGGTTGATGTTTTTTTTTTTCTGCAGACTGGTGACTCACAGGGCTGGCAGTGGAGCGACAATGACATTTATAGTGTGATTCAGGTGGAGCGAGAGCCAGATAGAAAAATCTAAAGTTGGACTGCACATTTAATTGTGTTTAGTCTCATTCTATGTAATGAGTCGTTCTGGTGATGAGTGACGAAGGCAGACAGAGACAGACATAATGGGCATTTTTGGTGTCTGAGTTTTCTGGGTGTGGTTTTTGTTGTCTTGTTTCCATTTGTAGTTAGTTATATTTTCACATTTTTGTTGTTGGTGTATTTACCCCTAACACAACGCACATTTGATGGCGGCACGCATGGACGCAGCGCCCCCTTCAGGAGACAGCGAGAGTGAACGTTTAGTGTCTTGCCTATCCCAGACCAGCATTCTGCAAAACTTACTAATTAAATGATCCTGAAGAAACGCTCTCTCATCTTGCCTCTACGACTGTATATGTACAGCAAAATGACAATAAACTTGATTTTGATTTGATTTTGATTTATTTATGTCTTTGTAAATCCCTGCTGCCTGTCTGTGCTTCACTGTGAGCACATCACTGCTGTTTTATTGGCACTGCAAAAGCACATCATGTGTGTCCGGTAAATCAAAATCACTCTTCTGTCTGACAATAAAAAAAAAATATCAGTCAGTATGCTGTGTTGTCGTCTGTGAGAGTAGAGAATGGGACGTCTGCAGTGCGATTTATTATTCTGGCTCATACAGGGAGGTTTCAGTTTTCTGCCTGTTTTAGTGTCATCCATTGTACAGTCATATTCCTATTATTTGATGAAGTCCCACACATGTTGAAACTGCCAAAAAATCTTTGTTTTTCTTTTTTTTTAATAACCCTGCTTTGTATAGCACTCCATAGCAACTGTTTAAGTGCAAAGTGCTGAGAGAAATAAGATTGCCATTATAAATTTACCCGACAAGTTTAAATATAAATGTTAAGATTATTCATGATGTAAAATTACCTGACAAATCACCAAACTAATTAAGAAGAGCCTATAATACTCGAGTCTTCAAAGAACATGATATGACTAGAACTTCAAAAAGTTCAAATGAATAATCCATCCATCCATTATCTAAACACCGCTTAATCCTCACTAGGGTCATGGGGGGCTGGAGTCTATCCCAGCTGACTCAGGGTGAAGGCAAGAGACACCCTGGACAGGTCACCAGTCTATCACAGGGCCACACTTAGAGACAGACAACCAAGCACACTCACATTCACACCTACGGACAATTTAGAATCACCAATTAACCTCAATATGTTTTTGGACTGTGTGGGAGGAAGCCGGAGAACCCGGAGAGAACCCACGCTGCACGGGGAGAACATGCAAACTCCACACAGAAAGATCCCGGGTGTCCTCACTGGGACGCAAACCGGCAACCTTCTTGCTGCGAGGCAACAATGCTGACCAACTGCACCACCTTGCAGCCCTCAATTGATTAATATATTAGCAATATTGTAACCACAATGTATATGAACTAAACAATTCTGACTTTTGTGACTCCGAGGAATATTTTCAACAAGACACTGTGGCAGCAGTGCAATGCTTCTGAATGGGAGCAGCCATGTTATTTCATCCAGGATTTGTTGCTGAAATAGTTCGAATCATTCTGTATTTATTTTTATAAAAATGTTAACATGTCCACATGGTGTATTTTATATGCTTGGTAGCATATCACCATGTAAATACAGTCAGCATTTCTTCAAGTCTAAACCTGCAGCGTACTAACGATAGTCTTAAAAGCACAGGTTTAGACTTTTAGGTCTTTATATGTAACAAATTTAAGGAACCAATCCTGGCTTCTTGCAGAGTGGGACTTTCTGTATCTTTAATCCTCTTCAGAATCAGTTTTTCAACCGTGGTACGGCTAAACTGCTCTCATATTACAACTTGCCACGATGTAGCATACAGTAGTTTTACGGTGTTTGAGCAGAGTTGTAGGTGAGCCAGTGTGCTCGAGATGCAAGGAGCTGTGAAGGGGTGGGTGGAGACATTCTGGAGGAAGCAGCAGTTTAGAGGTACATCTGCACCATTGGGATTATTTTCATGGAGATAAAAAAAAAGCTAAAAACTTCTAAATGTGTTATTTTGATACAAAAGAATGAGTTTTTAGGGGTTTGAACAATGAGCAGAGACGGATTACGTTTTGTTCTTATTTAAACTGTTCGCATTACAAAAGTTAGAAACATTAGTTAAAGAAATCTAAACTGATCTGAGCAAATGATTCATATTAACTGTGTGAACTGTAGTGTGACGAACACTGGAACCACTGGGCTGAACTACCAGGTGATAACTGACTTCACAAAAAAACAACAGTTTTCATTGCCTGTAATGGAAAAAAAGAGAGGTAGTTACTCACCAGCTGTGAGATGTGGAGATGCCTGCATGTACCAGGGAGTGAGACTGCACTACACCTGCATTAACCATCAACACAAACTCAGCTCTAAGATTGCTGACATTTTTTCTACAGTTATACAAATCAGTTTTGCTGAAGGTGAACAATACTTGCAGCATCCCGTCCCCAACATGAACATGTTCATCAATTAGAGTCCTGCAGGTATCAAGCTTACATTTAATGATAACCGCTTACAGAAAACACTCAAACTCACCTCTTTTGTACCTCTATCAGCTTTTAAAAATATGGTGAAGGTATTACTTACCGATTCCTTCACCTGCTTCTAGTGTATTTTATCTTGAAGCCTTTTATTGTTGTTTTGTTTGTGTATTGATTTTTATTTATTTATTTATTTATTTATTTATTTTATTTATGGACGTATTCCTTTCATTGTGTTTTCTGCTCTGTGCTGCCTCTTGGCCAGGTCATTATTGTAAATGAGAATTTGTTCTCACCTGGTTAAATAAAGGAGAAAACAAAATAAAAATAATGAAAAAACTAAATTCATGCATGTAGATAGACTTGTATGTTTTATTACAAGTTAGTCATATATATCCTACCAGTATTGTAGTCCACCATGAATGTTATATATAACCTTTGTTTGTGTCGTTGCCTGTAGCATATGCATATACACCTTCTATTTATATGCTGAAGCTGCACTCATGTTCACAGACAACGGCACCTTGTATTTGCATCACTGTAAGCAAGTACAGCATGTTCAGCGAGGTGCAGCCTCCACAAGTGCAACATAAGTCACACTACTGTTTTTGTAGTGATATATATATATACACAAGATAAGCTATATTTACAACAATAAGGTATATATTTACTCCTTAATTTCTTTCTTTCTTTCTTTTTTTTTTTGGCACAGAATAGATTCAATTGAAAAACATCATCATCATCATGTCCTCCTATAATTAGCATCTTTTCACTCCATTATCTAAATAAACTGTGAATCAGTTTAAATATTGTGTCTCAGTCTAGTAAGAAAATTCGTTTTTTATTTTTTACCATTTGTCGTCATCTAGTGAACGATCGATGAAAAGCACCTCCTCCCGATTGGCTTAATTTGTGATGTGCTTGTCTCTGATTGGCTACGAAAATTTCAACCGTCCAGAAAAGTCGTCCGTACGGAAACACGTACAGCTTAACGTTTCCGCCGTATCGTCAAAGTTAAAACATATCACGCTACTTGTTTGCATTTACTGCTGTTTTCTTTTATTTAATCGATATTTATTTTTCCTGATACGTGAAAGAAAAAAAATGCCCCACTCGGCTCAAGCAGCCTGGTGACAAACGTTAGCATGTAGCGGTTTCTTTCCGGAGGACAATAGAGAAAGGACCGGCTCGATTGATGGAGTTTCGAAGAGCGTATTTGTTGTGAGAGTTTCTCTCCGAGGCAGTTTGAGCACGATGGGAGGCTTTAGAGCATTTCTGAGAGCAGCAGTGGTGTTGGTGGTGCTGGACCTGGACCCGGTGTGTTGTGATATAACCGACGGCAACGCGGAGCACCTGAAGAGAGAGCACTCGTTAATGAAGCCGTACCAAGGTGAGGCGGCTCAGCTAGCTCCAAGCTAACCTGCTGGCTTGTCCACTCGCACGTATCTCAGTATGTCACACAAGTTGTTTAGCGACATTTTACACACTTAAGCTACTTCGTGAGGATGACTTTCATATTATGGCTCATTCATGGGAGGTTATTTTGAAGCGAGTCGCTTGAAAACCCGCGTAATGTTCTCAGTCAGCGCTGTGCGGGACAGAAAGTTCAGAGCGATAGTTATCAGTGAGAAAACACAGAAACACCCACAGGACTGAATGCTGGAACATTCTAAAGCTGTGAATAAACGTCATGTTTTGCCTGTGAAAAATATTAGACGACAAACGCTTTGAGTCGTTACGAGTTAATTTACTTTAAATCATCAACTTTTCTGCAGCAGTGCTGTTACCATAGAAGAACTATAACATCCCAAAATATCAAAATATACCACAGCCAAAAACCTCCAACGTCAGGAATAGTAAATGACAATGAATCATTTATTTATGAAGGAAACACAGGACATACGTTGACAGTGTGAATTCAAAGCAGTGTGGTGATGTGGAAAGAAGCTTCACAGCAACATGAGTAAACTATTGGACTACAATGTGTTTAAAATCCTGTCAAATCCAACTAGAACTGAAGGATCTCGTTATGAAGGTCAGCTCTTTGCTTGTTCACATGCTTCTAAAAGTTGTAATCCTTGTACAGGAGGGCAGCAGTACTTTAGTGGATATTTTGATGAACCACTTCAGTTATTATTCTAACTGCTGTTGTTTAAGCAGACTGTGGACATGTGGTTTTACCAGCTTGGAGGAGTTCACTTTACTAGTGTGTTTACATATAAAGATGATTGCCACATTGGTAAGTTGGCCCAAAAGTAGAATTAAACCGTTATCACTGCCCTTGTCTCGTTAAACTCCTATGATGAAAAAACATTTGCTTGTCACAAAATGATGTAATTCGGTTATCTATCACATTCAGTCCGTTGAAAAAGTTGATATATCTGTTGCTGAAGTGCTTTTCCATGTTGGACACGTTGGCTCCCTCAGTTTATGGAGTTAAAACATCTTTTACACATGGCTTTATGGTGTACGTGGGCTCACCCTGACTGTAGGCTGGAAGTGAAGTGATGGTACATTTTGCTTTGTGTGTCTGCTTCATGGACAGTCTGTGGATGCTGCAGTGTGTTGAGAGAAGGAAAAAATAGTTGTTTTGCCGTATAAGCCTGCAGAGAGTGGAATCAGAGTGCTGTAAACACGTTCTGCCCCGCTGTTGCAGATCAAAGTAACTCTAAGGAAATGCGACCGATTTTATAACACTGTTTTTCTTTAAGTGCGAACACCAATAATACTGGGATTTGTATAGATTTTAACTTGCAGGATATTGTGATGTTCTTCTAGTGCAGTGCTCAGTATTGTTTTGTTTTTTTGCACTGGTCTTCCAGGCTCCAGCTGTATAATACGATACTATGCATGCAGGATCCTGAAACTTGCTTCAGGTTTTCAGTTTCATAGCGCGAACATCAAGTATGCCTTTATTTGTTGTCAGTGTGACATTAAAGTTGTGTGATAGTCCAGCGTAGATGTCACAATTCAAACAAAGAAATGGCACTGAGTAATGGACGTATTCACAGTTAGAGATGACTAAAACAAGCTTTTCCTTAGGAGTTTTTATATCATACAGAAGTCTATGAAAATAAATGTAATACTGCACATAAAAACGGTCAACATAGAGGGTGAGTAGTTGAACAGCTGCTGTTACCTGCTGGTAAATATGGCTTTCTTCAGGCTTTTTCAATGAAACATCTGAAACAAAAGACCAAAAATGAAACTTAAACGGCTCTGGAAGTTGCTGAGCAAGTTATTTCCTGCAGGTGCCTGCAGCTGTTGCACTTATGACAGCCAAGGAATGTGCCGCAAACCACGAGAAAATTTCATTTGCATTTGGGTTACCCATATTGACAAAATGTGAGGAGGGCTTTCAGAATGCTTCGGGGACTCTGCAGTGCTTGTTTAAGGTGTGTACAAGAAGGTGTCTGTGTAATAAAGCTTATCAGGTACTTCTGTGTTTGTTTTTTCTCAAACAAACGCAGCCCTCGGGCCTGCCTCACTGATAAGGGAACAGGAAGTACAATTGCAAGTTAAAGTATGTCTATGACAACATCAAGCAAAACAACTCAGACATGCTGTAGAAGCACAGCGATCATAGAGGAAATACCTCATCGGAGGACTGAAGGAAAAACTGGAAAATGTTTCCCGTGACATGTTTTAGTCGGGGAACCTTCTGGATGCCAAAAATATAGCAAATTTACAAGACTGTAAATTATTGAATTAGTGTTTTCTGTCATTGTTTGTTGATTGTGTACAGTGTTGTGTATTTACATGACAAAAGTACTTGATTGCAGATAACCGCTGTTGTTTGTACTGTGCAGCGTTTTCCTTCCAACACTTCCTGAGTGAGTGTTTTTTCAAGACTAACCAAATGAGTATAGAAGTGCCAGTAACTGTTGAGTAATCGTCTTGTTCTGCACGTTTTACAAGTCGTGCATATTTCCACATATGAGGTCGCCTGAAATACAAAAGGAGCAGAGACACAGAGATGGAGACGTGGCCGACTGTCTGTCACTCCTGGTGTGATGTCATACACTGATCCTTTATGCTGCTTGCATTTTATCAACGCGTAGTACTTTCAGATGGTAGGAGCTGCCTGCTATCGGTTGGCTACTCTTGGCTGGTTGGCAACAAGTTCAACATACCTGGGCTAATTTCTTTTATTGCTTTATGGCTTCTCTGAATCTACCAACTGCAGCCGTGTTAAGTGTTCCCACAAAGGTGGTGACCAACTCGTTAAGTCAGCCCAGATTTTCTGAATCTAACTACGAGCGCGTTCACATGAAACGGACGATGCTGGCAGAAGATGACAAGCTGAAAACGTTTCTCACCAGAAAATCAAACTATGATCCTAAACCAATATGAGGAGTTTAAATATATAACTGAGGCTAAAAACAACTGTAGCTTCAGCCAAAGTCAGGAAGGAAAACGGCAAAAAACTGCAGACTGTGTGAATGCATAATTAATAGGCTTATCAATATCACTTCTCTGTTGTGTGTGAGTTGCTTGGATGTAGGTTTCTTATGCAAGATTCAGTTTATCATCACAAGATGGTATAATGGAATCAGAGGTGTAGTCCTTTTATGCTGCCAAATAAATACTAAATAGAGAATAAAAATAATGCTGCTTTGATGGCGATGTGGACGATGAATTCAGAATCTGACTGTGTCGTGTGTTTTCTCTTGTGTCTTGCAGGTGTTGGCAGCAGTCCGACTAGTCAGTGGGACTTCTGGGGAAGCACTTTGGTGACGAGCTCATACGTCCGACTTACTCCAGACGAGAGAAGCAAGCAGGGGTCTATCTGGAATACTGTGGTGAGGAGAAACTATGAATGTAGCTCATATATCATATGATGATATTTTCTCCTTTTCTGTGCAGGGGGAGGTTTTTATCTGTACAACATATGTAAATATTGTTTACCTCTTATTTTATATTGGTTAATTATATGTGAAGGTGAAACATGAATGACTGAAGTTTCTTTTTAACTGAATTGCATTAATACATAAAATAAAACTCTGAACACAAACTGAACCTCTTTGCCTTTCTCCCATTTCTAGTATTTTGTTGAGGCTAACCCTTACTTTGCTTATGATGCTACAGCCTTGTTACTTGAAGGACTGGGAGATGCATGTGCAATTTAAAGTTCACGGGTCAGGAAAGAAGAATCTCCATGGCGACGGCATTGCTATCTGGTACACAAAGGACAGGCTGCATCCAGGTAACGTTGGCTTATTTAACCTCATAGTTCTAAACGCTGAGGTCCAACTTCTGTGGAAGAAACTCGCCCAGCTTGATCATTTTCTTGTTGGACCTTTTTTTTTTTTTGCATCACAGTGTTGAAGTTTGGATTTACCAAACATGGAAGACTTAGCTGTCACCAGCAGAGGAAATAAAGGAAATACATTAAAAAAACAGTTTTTTTTCTCATCTATTGGAGCTTAGAATGAATCCTTTATTTTGAAAACTGTAGTCACTTACACTTATCTCGCACATAATTCCTGTTGCAACATGTTAAGTTCTCTAATGTTGGCAGAAAAAACCAAACCGACTCACCTGTCGACTGTCAGGTATAAAATGTCCAGTGACTCTCTGAATCCCAAAATCTGCTGCCATGTGTGAAAGGCACATTTTCTTTAAAACTCGCTAAATTACACCATTTATTACAGCTAGAAAGTGTCACCATCTATCCATAAACCATTTGCAGCAGATCCATGCAAACAAAAAGTCTGACAGTGGGACTGAGAAGCCATGACTGACTCTGCAGCAGCCGACAGTCACGTGAGAAAAACTGAGAAGCTGTTGGATTGAACTGCAGGCTGTGAGAGATATTGAGAGTAAAGTAAAACCTAGTTGAGCAATAAAATAAATGCAGCATGGCTCAAAAACAGTATACAGAGGAGCAAGTTTACAGCTAGTTGATACATAAGATATATTCAGCATGGTGAAATATCTCTCTGGAGTTAATGTGCAGAGTAGTGTAAATATGTAAATGGTTAAATATGCATGAATAAAGCATGAGGAGTCTCCAAAATCAACGTTGACTGGTCTCCTTTTACAGTTTATGGCATTCTAACTGTGTCATACTTCGTGTCATAATTCTCTCTCCTTCTAACCACGGTTGTGCTGTTTCCATACAAGTGCAGGACTTTATATTGCAGCGAAAAGTCGCCCACAGTGAGTAGAAATATGACAGGAGCAAAACATACCCAGAAACTGCTTGGGGGTTCTGAGTTCTACCGCTACATATTTATGAATGTCTTACATTTATTAATATATTGCAGTAAATAATGCTGCCTTGCTCGCTTTTTGTCAACACTGAAGACACAACAGTCTTGTTTTATTTATTTACTTGGTGTTTGGTGGATACATATGGTGCTAAATTAATAAAAAAATCTCAGTATCCCAACACAGATTTAAAAATCTTTTCTTACAATTGCAAACGTGACAACATAGAAAAACAGACTTTTTTGTTGTGAACAATAGGTATAGGTGACAGGTGTAAAGCACTGCAGCTTAGATAGAGAAATATAAATTCAATGATGCCTGTTTGTCCCGGTCTTGCTGCCTCGGTCTCACTGAAATACGTAGAAAACTGTTGGCCGACACTCTTCATTCTCACTCCATGTGTACGCTTTATTTCATCACGTCTGCTCACGTCTCGCCTCATCTCTGCCTCCATCCTAGGGCCTGTGTTTGGAAACCAAGATCAGTTTCTTGGCCTGGCTATTTTTTTGGATACCTTCCGCAATGACCTCCACGGAATGGATGTAAGTGTCAGTGTGTGGTTGGAGGCGATTGACAGGCTCGTTTCTTTGCAGGACCCGTGTTTTCCAACAAAGCTTTCTTCCACGGGCTGGCTGTTTTTATAGATACTTACTCTAACGATGACGCTACGGACGTGAGTGGTTGCTCAGGTTTCCCTCGTCGGCATGATGTCTCCGTGCAGATTTTTGTTTATCGTCAGCATGTTGTCAGAACCGCGAGCATGTCATAACGCTGAAAACCACAGAGATCCTTTTTGTTGCTATAAATGCACATATTTGTTGTAATCAGAGTTAATCACATCTTATTTGGCATGCTGGTTCTCTGGCTGTGCCGTCTTCACATTTGGAAACAGAAGTTTTGGTTTATTTCAGGGTCAGTTCGTGTCAGTTCAGACAGAAGTTAGCAAACATGTTCTTGCACAGAGTTTACTTGTTTGTTATTTGTCACACAAAACTAAGCTCTGTAAAATATTTATAGTTTAGTTCAGGGGTGCCCAATCCTGGTCCTCGAGAGCCCCTATCCAGCATGTTTTAGATGTCTCCCTCTTCCAACACACCTGATTCAAATGATCAGGATCGTTATCAGGCTTCAGCAGAGCTTGATGATGAGCTGATCATTTGAATCAGGTGTGTTGGAAGAGAGAAACATCTAAAACATGCAGGATAGGGGCTCTCGAGGACCAGGATTGGGCACCCCTGGTTTAGTTTATAGACTTACAAATTTTTGTATTTTGACCCTTAAAAAAATTTGCATCTAGTTTTTAGTATCTCTGGAAACTTTCAAGGCCTAATAATTAAAAGTTCAGCGTCTGTTGGAGCCATTTCATCTGTGAGTCTGGACACATTTTTGTCTGTGTCCTCATCAAATCTCTTGGCTGTGGGAGTTACATTTCTGGAGATGGCACACTGAACATGGCTTCCAAGGTGCAGTGTTTTTTCTTTAACGATTCAAGCACAAGAGTTTCCAGTATTTAGAAACAAATACTTTACAGAGCTTAGTTTTGGGTTCTAAATAACAAAATCTGAGACGGTGGAGCTACACTGCCAATCTGAAACGACACCGACCGACCCTTCACCGGAGCTTGTCTTGTGGCTTTAGCTACTTTCACATTGCAGCCCAAAGCGTCCTAATTCTCATCTTTCTTGTCCCTCATTGCTGGTTGCTTTGTAGTCTGTGTGACGAGCTGGAATCTGGACTAAGTGGTCATGTGGTACTAAAACAGATCAGTGGCAAGTAGCATCTCAGTGCTGCCAGTTAACAGTCAGATGACCAAAAAATAAATAAATACAGTTTTGTACAATTATCAGAAGTTGAATACTCACACTGTAACTAAACTTTTAGTCATACAGAGAACTATAGGTCTGAATATATTTCTCTCTGTCTGAGCACCAATTTCAAAATGATCCTGCAGTGTGAAGGTATGAGCTGCTATGATTTGAGTTGGTATCATGTGTACTTACTTTATTTTATTTCATGTATTCACTTGTCCCTCATCTTCATTTAAAAAACATACATCTAATGCCTGTTTTTAGGTGTTATTTGCTGATTGTTCATTCTCTGTCACCAGCGCTCCTTCCCGTATATCTCAGCCATGGTGAACAACGGCTCCGTGAATTACGACCACGGAAAAGACGGCCGCTCGTCGGAGCTGGGCGGCTGCTCGGCTGAGATCAGGAACAGGGAGCACGACACGTACCTCGCCATTCGCTACTCTAAAGGAAGACTGACTGTATGTCGATAAAGTGCTGTGTTTTAGCTGGATGAAATGATACTGTTTATTCTGTATCATACCATTTAACTTACAGCCCACTGAAGGTGTTTTCAGCCGATATTTGTGTCTGCGGTTAGCTTTTCACTGCAGGATTTTTTTAATTTTCTCATTCCTGTGTTTATTCTTAGCTTTGAGGAAAATAAAGTGCTACTTCGTGCAGTGCTGCACTGCCTCACTTACATGCAGCCTGTGTCCTCCAGGTGATGGTCGATGTTGACGATAAGAATGAATGGAAGGAGTGCATTGACATCGGAGGGGTTCGTCTTCCTACCGGATATTTCTTCGGTGCCTCAGCAGCTACAGGAGACCTCTCAGGTAGTCCAGAGCTGCAACGCTGACAACACAAACAAACAACAGAGTTTTCCAACACTCTTGCTCCAACACATTTTAATATAAAACTTTGGCATTGCACAGGCATATTGCACATGTATTTATCCCTGTTATATTATAACATTACATTATTTCAAGTTTAATTTCATTTTCCTGATTATTACCAACTGCTAACAGTTTCAGCTCATACATTACATGCCTATGAAACAGTCACATTTCAACCACAGTCACCGTTTTTAGTGTCAACCAGGGCATTTACATGACTCATGTCGAGTATCGTTTACAACGAAGGACCTGAATTTTCTCAATCAAATCAGACTCCTTCGACAGCATAAGCTCTTTACTTCCGCATTAAAACTGAGGAAGAGATCTAAACAAGAATACATTAACAAACAGAATTATTGGAATTAGTTTAACGTTGTGGTGAAATTCAAAGAAATCCAGTAAAGCTCATGTCTTTATCAAAATAAAAGGTTATTTCCTGGTCATGTTTAAATTGAAAAATGCTCCAGAAGGCTTCGTTTGTGTGCTAAAATCATTACAGATGTTGTTGCAGGGCAGACTACAGCCACACCCTCCCCTAACTGATTTTCAAATCAACTTTTTCACGCCTCTAAAGTCTGCAGCTCTGATATTGTGTTCCAGACAACCACGACATCATCTCCATGAAGCTGTACCAGCTGATGGTGGAACACACCCCTGAGGAGGAGAACTTGGACTGGACCAAGATCGAGCCCAGCGTCAGCCTCCTCAAGTCACCAAAAGGTAGATTCAAATCATGGGAACCTTTATTTATTGTCATGTTTATTCCACGTTTTTGTTTGTAGAAGTATACGGAATGTACTTTACAAGCCATTTAAAGTTTCAAACGGAAAGACATAAATAACATTGAAGCAGCTTCCAGCAATTTGTGACATTTCTGGGAGTTGATGGCAGAACAATACACCGATTAGGGAGTGTGTCCACATAGCATCTGTCTCTGTCTGATTAACCAGTGGCAGATTACTGGAGAGGTTTTGTCTGTATGACAACATAACATCACTCCAACCGGCGTCGTATGACAGAGTAGCATCACCCCTCGTTGTGCTCATATCTGTCTGACATATCATATAGCACGGCAGAGATCGATCCAGAGATATTCAAGTTCATAGATTTTAAACTAGAAGCACTCAGAGCAGCTGCTGAAAAGAAGAGCACTCTGGAAAAAAGTGGCGGCATTCTGCCACATACGCTGGAAACAACTGGTGCTAAAAAACACTGTTATGGCACACCAACAGTTTTAGTATTTTATATTGATCTTCGATGTGGACGATGGTTAGAACGGACACACTTCGTCTGCCTAAACAGCGTCTCTTTAGCCAGCTATGCTCAGGAACCAGAAGTGTTGGTGCTCTGAATAAGAGGTTTAAGGATGCCCTCAAAAAGACCTTCAAAGACTGTGAGATTGGTAACCGGGCTACAGCCCCACTCGACAGACCAGTGTGGAGGAGAGTGATGGTGTGAGGTCCTTTGAAAGACACAGGAGGAAGGCTGAGGACGAGAGGCAAGCCAGACGAAAGGCTGCTCAGGCCCTCAGACTGGGACAGCTTCCTGGGTAGATGCCGAAACAAAACCTGTATGGACCACCATGCTCGTGTAGAGCAGCAGTGATGATGATGATGATGATGATGATGATGATGATGATGATGATGATGATGATGATGATGATGGTGGTGGTTTCAGAAATTGATCTTACACGCTGCCATCCAGTTTTGCCAACCAAAAATGCCTCTTTTATGACTTCACACTGTGATATGGGTCTGGAAGATGCCTCTTATTAGCAAATATATCGTTTATGTTTGCACCTGGGCTGCAAGGTGGCACGGTAGTTAGTACCTCGCAGCATCAAGGACACCAGTTCACGTCCCGGTCAGGACACCCAGGATCTTTCTGCATGGAGTCTCCATGTTCTCCCTGTGCAGCGTGGATTCTCTCCGGGTTCTCCGGGTTCTTCCCACAGTCCAAAAACATGTTGAGGTTAATTGGTGATTCTAAATTGTCCGTAGGTGTGAATGTGAGTGTGCTTGGTTGTCTGTCTCTAAGTGTGGCCCTGTGATAGACTGGTGACCTGTCCAGGGTGTCCCCTGCCTTCACCCTGAGTCAGCTGGGATAGACTCCAGCCCCCCACGACCCTAGTGAGGATTAAACGGTGTAGAGATGATGGATGGATGGATGTTTGCACCTGATATTAGATTTCTAATGTTGTGCTTAATTCCAATGTCCCCAGACTTAAACAAAGACTCTCTAACCAACCACCCACGGATCAGATGAGCATTTATCCTGAACTGAAGGTGAAACTGATGGCGGATTGTTTTCCTCCTTCACAGACAACATCGATGATCCCACCGGAAACTTCCGCGGCACGCCTCTCACCGGCTGGAAGGTCTTCCTGCTCCTGTTGTGTGCTCTGCTGGGAATCGTGGTGTGCGCTGTGGTGGGAGCTGTGGTCTTCCAGAAGAGACAGGAGAGGAACAAGAGGTTTTACTAAACGGGAAGAAGAACCTTATGAGAGAGGCGTTTGTTGTTGAATGAACTGTTTCCAAATGACAGAACGAGCACATTCAATGTGAATTTTTTTCTAAAGATTGTACAAATGTTTATATCTTTGAAGCACTGCGTTGAGAGCAGATGAGGGGAACTCGTGATGACTTGTTGTGTAGACGAGTTGCAACCATCATAAGTTACCCTCAAGGCTGTTTTTGTGTCTTTGTGTTAATTTGTTGCAGGATTAGAATAGAGTTTCTGTCTTTTGCAGAGTTTTTCAAATTCTTACAGTTCAGACTTGCTTATCGGTTCATCAGGTGTCTCCAGGTCTTTTCAGCTTTTCTCTGCTGCAGCTGAAAGAGTTAACGTCGGCACCAGATGACACGTTAGATTTTTATTCCATTGTCTTCCAAGCAGTTTTACACGATTATTTATTGGAATAAGGAAAGCAGCTCCGCACACCAAATCTGCTCTATTTGGCGACGAGGACGTGCGGTTGCTGTTCAGTGCTCATCTGCTAAAATACAAATTCTGTCAGGACACAAAAAGACGAAACAAACTCTTGAAAAGAACAAATTGCGGCAACCCGAGGAGTCATTAAAATTGAACCTGAGAGCCTGAGCCTGTGTTTTAACCCGTGGAAGGAGTGCCGTTTTGGATTTGTTGATTATTTTTGTGAGCAACCACTGTATGCATACAACCTCTGTGTGTTATTTCTCTTATTTTTAATCGGCAGTAGCAGCATCAAGCGTCTTTATTTTGTCTTTGTTCTTGGGTTTTGTGTTATAAGGTTGGGATTTCTGTTGGGTGCCTTGTTTTCTTTTGTCCCCTCAGCCAGACGAACTGCTGTATCTCTGCTTGTGCCACACACCCGCTTGTTCTGTTAATTCCTTACGACTAATGTGAAGCACCAGGGCTACTCTCAGTGTTTTGTTTTTAGCAGAGGGCAGCCGACTCGCTTCAAATAGACCGCTAGGGCTGCAACTCATGTTTCTGAAATAATCAGTTGGTCCGGCAGCTGACATGGTGAAATTGAATACCCAGAGGTTCGGTTTGATATCTGAGAAAACTCAGAGAACAAGCAGCTAGTCGTATTCGAGAAGCTCGACTCAGTAGGTAGCGTATGTCCATTTGTTGTTAAGGTTTCGTAGCTGCTGGTATAAACATCATAAAAAATTACATGAAATAGAAAATATGAACTCTGGAAAGGCAGATGCGCTGTTTGACAGAGCAGATATGATTTTATTTAAAGAGTACGACTGAGTAGCCCAGTGCTTCCTTTCTAAATTGCTTGTTAAGTTGCGTTCGTAACCCTTTACACATACTTTCATTAGATTCTTCCGAAGCAGAACAAAGACCAAATCAGTCCAGTGTTATATCAGAGGTAGGGGAGCACATTGGCAGTGATTTGACATAAACCTTGACATTTTCCATCGAGTTGTTCTACGATGTCGAGTGTGGCACATTTGGATGAGTCTTGAAAGAGACCAGCGGACGAGTGGATGGATCTTGAAAACTGAACAACCTCAAATCTTTGAGGTTGAAATGTTTTATGCTTCTTTTTTTTTTTCCCCTTTTCTTTTCTCTGAAGGATCTTTTGAGCTGCAGAGTCTTTTGTCCAGAATATGCCTTGTCCTTTGTTCTTTTCTGTGATTCAGTTCTGCAGTATGATGAATATTACACTCGTAAACTGTTATGTAAGACAAGTGTGATCAATAAATGCAAACACAGTGTTAATTAGGAAGCCCTTCTTTTCCTATAGATCCGTGGATGGATTGTTCAAAGGCGAGTTTACACTGGCAACGCTTCAGTCGTTCATTTGTTCCAAACCTTGTTTCTTTGTTGTTGGCTCTACTTCCATTTCTGTAATGTTCCTCTTTGCTTCGGTTCTGACACGTTGGAAGTAAAATTTTGGATTTGATGACATGTTCATATTTTCTGAAACGTCATGTTTTGTTTTTTAAACTCCGTTAGTTTGACAAAGCGTTTTTAATACTGTTCTTATTTGCTTGAAGCCACTCTGTTTTTCTGGCCCATCAGTTAGTTCTGTGATGAGACTTGAAACAGCTTCTCTCATCAGAAATGAAGTATTAAAAAGAACAAAAGAAGCAGTTTGACTGTGGATTGTGGTGTATTGACAAGTTTATCAAGCATTTAATTAGATTAGATTAATTGTGAAGTCTTGAGGATATTTCCCTGGTGTGTTCAAGCAGAGCATGTAAATGTCAGTCTGGCACTGAAACACTAACAGGGGAGTTAACTGAAACCTGGAACACTGCGTTTTCTGCACTGCTGACTCTGCTTCTGTACAACTTCAGTCCCTGAGTCTGCTCTACATTACTGCATACAAACTTTATGGGATGTTACTTTGACCATTTTAATTTTATCTCCTGATATTAGCTCCCTGCAGATATGTCCGTCATAGTCCTCTAGAGAGCAGCAACACATTTATTTTTTAACTGCATTTCTTTAAAAAAAAAAAACAACACGTCTATATGTTAGAGATTGTGAAATTAAAATTACAGCATGTATAATTTTTAAATCGGTAGCCAAAACTCCTGTATGATAATTAAGAGCATCAAAAATAATGTGATCATTGTGTCGTTTCTCTGCAAAAGTAGAAGTGATGAAAAAAGTCAACTGGTGCATACAGGTCGTGTCCACACCCATGAGTATTTTTTTAAATATTGGGTCATTCTGCCTCAATTCAGCGAATGCCTCACGCCCGACCATCTTTAATCTGATGTTGATTCAGTTGACTGTATGTGAAATCTGAGGTCAAAGGTAACATTAGTTTTTGAGTTAGAAATTCTTAAAGAGGGGCGGATCATGACGATTCTTGCATTGTTTTCTTCACGTTTCAAGTGCCATAACTTTACAAATACTACAGCTTGAGTCCTGAAATTTTGCAGACACACATATATGTACACATGGCCTTTAATGGTAGAAACCAGTTATATGATGGTATAAATTTGGTCAATAAATGTTTCTGTCTACTCCGACTTTCCACCAATCATAAAACCTTTTCACCCTAAAAGGCTGATTTTTTTTCCTCCTGTGATTGGTACCGATAGGAGCTTTAAGCAATGTAGAGTAAGATGTCAGTCAAAGGCATACTTTATGAGAAAAAAACAATGACATTATGCATTTATGGATGATATTTGAACATGCATGTATAAAAGGTGACACCACTCTAATAACGGTCTCAAATGGAAGAGTTCTATAATATTTTTATTAGGCTAAAAAAAAAAAATCATGATTTTCCAGCTCATAGTGCTTCAAATTGTTTTATAAAAAGTGGTCCCATAAGCGATCACGTGTCAGACATGTAGATCTTCACATGTTTTTGATTTCGTTTTCAAGATCTGCTTTATTTCATTCTTACCTAGAAATCCTACAACTGATGTCCTGGAAATACAACTTGTTCAGGTCAGTGGGTTAAACTTTTGGGGCCCTGATGTATGTAATGTATAATAATAATAATAAACTTTATTTATAGAGCACTTTTCAAAACAATTGTTACAAAGTGCTTTCCAGTAAAATAAATTAAAATTAAAATGCAATAAGAACACAGAACAATTGATAAAAGTAGAAAGCACACACAAAAAGCAAGAAGCTAAAAAAACATAGAACTTAAAACTTAATAAAATCAGGAAAAGCTCTCCGACAAAAATGTGTTTTAAGAAGTGGCTTAAAAGAGAGCACAGACTTAGCCGACCTGATTTCCTCGGGCAGGTCATTCCAGAGCCTCGGCGCTTGGACTGAAAATGTTTTGTCCCCCTTTGTTTTCAGCCGGGCCTCTGGCACAGTTAAAAGACCTTTGCCCGAAGATCGTAGGGAGCGTGGTGGAGAATACGGAGTTAAAAGGTCGGCAATGTAAGTGGGACAGAGACCGTTGAGTGCTTTGAAAGTGATTAATAAAATCTTAAAATCAATCCTAAAACGTACTGGCAGCCAATGTAAAAGAGCTGAAACAGGCGTGATGTGCTCACGTTTCCTTAATGTAAATGCATGGAGGATTGTGGGTCAAATTGGCCACAAAAGCAGGCTGGCTTCAGCAAAATCTATGGTCTTTTGATATTAAACGTACTGGGACACGCAACTTTTTTTTTGTTTTGTGTTTTGAAACGTACTGCAAGTTTGCCAGCTAGCTCGTTAGTTGTAGCCAATAAAATTACCAAGTGCAAGTGCCGTTGTTGCTAAATTAACAGTCACTTATTGTCTAACATTAGTAAGAAACTACTTGTTTTACTTCTGGCTGTGATTAATGAAAATGTCTTTCAGTAATTATAAATTTCAAGCGTGTGAGGCCCCACCACCATTTTAAGCTGCTTTCTATTTCTTGTTCTGCAAGTTGACAGTCACAGCAACACCAGCCGATGGAGGCGGGGCATAATGGTAGATGCCCCGCCTCCTACATGACTCCACCCACATAGAGCTGCTTATTAGCATACCACCTGATGCATACTCCGCCTTTTTATTTGCACATGTTGCCAGCTTGATAACAAATGTGCTCCAGGAAGGTTTAGAGATCATTAATCTCACCACTGTCAGCTTTAAAATACATTTCAAGGAGGATACAGAGTTTCTTGTCAAACACTTATAAAACGTTATTGTCCACCGACATGCAACAACTAAGTATTTGCTCTTTGCAAACATGCTGTTTACAAGTTGGATCAGCTTGTTTGGTGTTCTCTGGCCGCTCATTTTCTCTTAAAATTGGTGAATTAAAATCTTAATATTGGCTTTTCTTTGTCTGGCAGGTGCATTGCGACTGACTGACACGGTTGACGAATGGTTTTAATAGGTGTAGTTGCAGAACTTTGATTGGCTCTCTGTCTCGTTCAAGGTGATTCATTGATTTCAAGGATCTATGTATGATTCCTGTCTCGCCCATTCACACATTTTATCATCTGCAGTTTTGTTCTTTGTGCTAAATTCAAAGTTGCAAAGTTATTTGTCTTGATTTAAAAATGTTAAACTGCTGAACTAAAGCTCTTAGTGATGGATTTTGTGAGTTCATTACCTTCTGCCTGGTGTTGTGTGGATACCTGGGATTAGACTGATCCATCTCACTTCCCTTGCTCTACTGGTGGAGTTATGGCTTTTATTTGGTCAAATAAATCTACTCCAAATGTAGTGACTCACGAAAAAGCTAACAAAAGGAAGAAAAATTACTAATCTAAAAGGAACCTGGGAACCTGACAGAAGTCGTGCAGCACTGTTTTCCTCTGATAGCCGCATACTTTTGGGTGTTGAACGTATTAGCGCTGTGACTTGACTTGTTTTTCTTGTGGTCCATGAAATGGTGAAAAATGTTGATCAGTTTTTCCCAAGACGACGACATTAAATGTCTTCTTTTGTCCACTAGCTGAAGATATTCAGCTTACGGTCACAGAGAATAAAGTTCACTGGAACGTTTTCATATTTGAGAAACTGCAATCAGAGAATTTAGACTTTCTTTAAAAAGTATTAGAACAATTAAGCGATTATGAAGATTGAGGGGCTGCAGGGTGGCGCAGTTGGTTAGCACTGTTGCCTCACAGCAAGAAGGTTGCCGGTTCGCATCCTGGTGAGGACACCTGGGATCTTTCTGCATGTCAAGTCTCCATGTTCTCCCTCTCCAGTGTGGGTTCTCTCGGGGTTTTCTGGCTTCCTCCCACACAGTCCAAAAACATGTTGAGGTTAACTGGTGATTCTAAATTGTCCGTAGGTGTGAATGTGAGTGTGCTTGGTTGTCTGTTAAGGATTAAGCAGTTAATAGATAATGGATGGATGGATGGATGGATGAAAATTGAATGGATGACAACTCACTGATTGATCATTGCAGTTCCAGTTGATGTTATGATCAAGTTAAAATTCATCCATCAGTCATTATGTGTTCAGTCATTTTATTTACACTGCCTGCTTCACACTGCCACAATAGTCCCCGTCCCCAAGTGCTCCACAATGACAGATCTAAATGACTACCGACCTATAGCTCTAACCCCGGTATTCATGAAGCGCTTCGACAGGCTGGTCATGACATCAAAGACTCCATCAACATCACTGTGGACCCCCACCAACACGCCTACAAGAAGAACTGCTCCACTGATGACGCCATCTCACCGGTGGTCCAGACAGCCCTCACTCACCTGGAGAGCAGAAACTCATACGTCCACCTGCTCTTCCTGGACTTCTCCTTTGCCTTCAACACCATCATCCCACAGACCCTGGTGCACAAGCTCTCCTCCCTTGGATTGAGCTCCACATTGGAGTCCTGGGTCCTGGACTTCCTGACCAACCGACCTCAGACTGTCAGGATCCACAACACCATCTCCTCTTCCTCCATCACCGTCAGCACTGGCTCGCCCCAGGGCTGTGTGCTGAGCCCCCTCCTGTTCACTCTGCTAACACATGACTGCTCGGTGAGACACCCCAGCTGTCACATGGTGGAGTTCACAGACGACACAGCAGTAGTGGGACGCATCACGGACAACGATCCAAATACAGAGAGGAGGTGGAACACCTGGTGCAGTGGTGCAGAGACAATAACCTCTGCATCAGTGTGAAGAAGACCAAGGAGATGGTGGTGATGGTGGTGGATTTCAAGAGGGACAAGCGCCCTCCCTCTCCCCTGCACATCAGAGGAGCAGCTGTGGAAGTGGTCTCCAGCTTCAGGTACCTGGGTGTGCACATATCCAGTGACCTCACCCGAAGCGCCAACATTTCCTGTCTGGTCAGGAAGGCCCACCAGCATCTTTACTTCCTCAGGAAGCTGCAGAGAGAGTTACTTGACATAACTATATGTGGTTTTCTGTTATTTGTGATCATTTGATGAACCAAATTGTCTGTTATTTTTGAGAAAATGTAATTTGTAACCTCATTCATCAGCACCTGTATGAATATGCAGCTTTAGTCGAGGTTGCAGTGTCAGTGAATATCTGCTGTTTTTAACCACAAGATGGTGATATTGTATTGATTTTCATCCTCAGGCCAGACTTGAACACAGCTTTGTGTGTGTGTGTGTGTGTGTGTGTGTGTGTGTGTGTGTGTGTGTGTGTGGGTTATATTCACTTATGTCTGATAATAAGCAGGAACTGATCATTTTCTTTTGCTGCAAACTCAACACACAGCT